AGCAGATTTGAAACGTACTATATTGAGATCCATAGATCCGGCCATTAAAAAGTTAGGTGCTGAAAATCCCTTACTATTGCAATTGATAGAAGATTCACCCAAGGGCTGCGAAACCTTAATTATACGCATAATTTATATACTAACCGAAAGACAAGCTACGCCTGCCCCTGAACTGGTGTTAAGGGTTAAGGAATTGCATCAAAATAAAATTAAAGATGTAAGGGTTTTAATACCCATACTCAGTGGTTTGACGCGTCAAGAGATACTCTCTGCTTTGCCAAAATTAATAAAACTTAATCAGGTAGTAGTTAAGGAAGTCTTCAATCGTTTGCTTAGCATAGGAGCAGAGTTTGCAAATCAAACTATGGCCACCACCCCTACTGATATATTGGTGGCTCTACATACCATTGATATTAATGAATGTGATTTGAAGTGTATAGTCAAGGCCACTTCTTTGTGTTTAGCGGAAAAGGAGGTTTTCACCCAGGAAGTACTGATTGGTGTTCTGCAGCAGTTGGTGGAAATTGTACCCATACCTACGTTGCTTATGCGTACCATTATACAAAGTTTGACCTTATATCCACGCATGGCTAATTTTGTTTTAAATATATTGCAACGTTTAATCCTCAAACAAGTATGGCGTCAAAAGGTCATATGGGAGGGTTTTCTCAAGTGTTTACAACGTTTAAAACCTTCTTCACTGCCCATTATGTTGCATTTGCCACCACAACAATTAATGAATGCCCTCGAGCAGTGTCCTGACTTAAGGCCACTTTTAATTGAATATGCTCAAAGTATAGAGGAGGAGCCTATGTCGGGTATAACACCACAAATAATGGATATCATAACGGGTAAAGCTGTAGATGTTTTTATAACGGTAAGTGGTTTTATGTTTCAAAAATTGGGTTAAATAATGTTTATTTTCTTTATTTGAAAAGGATGACACCGGTGGCTTTATTTCAGTGGAAAATATTAAAAAGGAAGTGGATGAACCTATGGAAATTTCCACTATATCTACAGTTACCACGGTACCTGTACCCTTGCGTGTTCGTTCTCCAGATGGTCAGGCAGCGGGCGGAGTGCATGATGTTAATCAACCTTTGCCTCCAGGAGAGGATTAAATTTTATACTGAACTTTTTTTTAATTTCTAAACTTTAACGTAGTTTTAGGAGATTTTTGATTTTAAAAACACAAACAAATAATTTCACAAAATTTTACAAGAATGTTAAAAGTGAAACATTTTTTTTAGGTGTGAAAAATAAAAGTTAAATCAATGTTTGTTTCAGATAAAAAAGAAAATACGAAAATTTTGGAGAAAATTTTTTTCAAAATTACAATAACAATTAGAAATTCTGTTGTAAAATTTGCAAAAGTGTTGTTACGCCCTTTTGCATTTCAGGTGACGATTTCATTTTATAAAATCCACTATTTATTAAAAATTGCCACAAAACTCTTGTAAACTTTATTTGTAATTCATTGCTAGTCGCACAATTCTCCTGTTTATTTAAATTACAACTTCAGCCAACATTTTTTCACCCTTTAGACCGGACAAAATATTCACAGCTGTAATACGTGACATTTCAGTGCGTGTATTAGTATCGGCACTGCCGATATGAGGCAAAACCACAATATTATCCAAGGTCAAGAGAGGATCATCCAAGGGCAAAGGTTCGGGTGTGGTAACATCCAAACCAGCTGCCATAATACGTTTCTCCTTAAGAGCTTCATACAAAGCTTTCTGATCCACCACAGCACCACGTGATATATTTATAAAAATGCAATTCTTTTTCATTTGACCAAAAGCTGAAGAATTGAAGATTTCCTTAGTTTCGGGTGTTAAGGCACAACAGGCTATAATGAAATCAGATTCTTTCAACATTTCCTCGAAAGATACATAGGTGGCTTGCACTTTCTTGGCTTCTTCGGGACGTTGAGTGCGTGTGGTGTAGGTGATAAGGGAAGGTTTAAAGGGCACCAAACGACTGGCTATCTCCTGACCAATACGACCAAAACCAAAGAGACCCACACGAGAACCTTTCAAACCCTGACCACACATCCAGCTGGGTGCCCATGATTTCCAGCCACCATTATAGACTTCCTTATTAGCCTCAAATAAACGTCTGTTTACAGATAACAACAAAGCTAAAGTCAATTCGGCTGTGGCATCTGTTAGGACATCGGGTGTATAACCGACACGTATGCCATTCTTTTTGCAGGCCTCTAAATCTATATGTTCATAGCCCACACTAATGGTTGAAATACATTTTAGCTGGGGACCGGCGGCAGCAATAACTTCGGCATCTATTTTATCGGTAAGAGCGCAGAATAGAGCATCTTTGCCTTTGATTTGCTTTAAAAGTTCCTCGCGTGGCACTGGGTTTGGTTCACTCCATGTGGTGACATTACATCTTAAAAATACAATTTTTTTAAACCACAAACACACTTGCTTGCACTCTGTTTTAACTTACTCTTTTTTCAATAAATCCAAACCTATGGTCGCCACATCTGGTCTAGTAACATATACATTTTTTTCATTCGGCATTTTTGAATATCTACGTTTATTTTCGAATTTATTGCAATTTGCCGAGAGTGTTAATGCTGTTTGCCGGCTTGAAAACAAGTAACAAGAAGTTTGTTGTTCTAATCTGTACAATCTGGAAAATAACTTGTTCATTTTGTTACCGGAATTATGGGAGTTTTTATAGTGGTATGTGAGCCGGTTGACAATCAGCTGTTTGCTGTTTTTATGCATTGAACGTATTGGAGGGTCAATTGTGTCTCGAATATCTTAATAATGTTTCAAAAGTCTATCGATCTATCTCCATCGATAGATCCATCTATCGATCTATCTATGTATCTATCTATCTATCGATCTAT